ACGAGTTTTTCTATTCAGCTACAGGCTGCTTCCTTGTTGTGTAGCAAGCTAACGAAAAAAAAATATTTCCCGCCCAAGCGGTTCACTTGCCTTCGTGCATGCTGGTTTCCGGGGTGACAGACCGATAATCAACCTTTCACTACTGATTGGCATATGATCTGCAAAACAATTTCTTTTGACCACGCAAGCTGATGACGATGCACTGGTTAGGACACAGTGCCGATGTTAAATCTTGTTTTCTGACCGTCCCAACGACCATCACCAATTTGGCTAAGGCGAGAATTTAGAGCGATTGCTGCTTTTCCATCGTCAAAGTTTCCCACGGGTATCTTTATTGAAGGTTTTGGCGAGATAAAACAGGGAGAGTGATGGGACGTCGTAATAACTCTGACAGTTTTTAGCACAGTCAAATCCAGTCAACCGTTTTACTTTATTTTCAACTTATTTGCCTCTTCAGGTTGCTGTGACACAACTTCCACTTCGTTGATATCGTTTACACAAAAGACGATACGATTTTAGCAGTTCATCTGTCGAGAGAAGCGAACAAGCTACTTCCAGGAGGCACTTCAGAAAATGTAGAAGATGCGATTGCTGGAGCAAGAAGATTATTGGCCTAGAGTTTCGTATCCTCGTTTGAACCCATCATGAGAGACAATCGCATATAATGGTGCCAGAGGCACATGTTACGCAGTATGTAGCGTTCACGCGACCATATGCGCACCAAAAATTAGCAGCTTCCGTAATCATCGCTGGGGATCGTGATTAATGCGATGAGTGCTTGCAAGTCCGCTTCCCAGTCATTACTTGTCGCAATTTCATCATCCGTGTGGGGCGTGAGCATGATAATTACGCGACAATTAGGTTCGCTGTTATCGAAATTGTTGCTGGCCCGCGCCCTCCTTACGTGACTGATTCTCCTGCTCAGGCAAAACTTCTGCACAGAATATGGAAACGGCAAGACGGTGTGTTTGATGATGGACTACGGGCCTGAGAATGATAACTCTAGCAGCTCGCGGCTCATGCGCTTATCACCGCCTGCGAGGATTTCAGCCTCGTCAAATTTGAAAATATGGCTCCTTTTATCCTTTGTCCTTTGTCCTTCGAATAAGAATCCGA